ACATAATTTTTTAAAAGCAACTAATCAAATTCATGGAAGAAAAAAAAAAACACCAAACTTACAGAACAGAAGGACTATTGCTTTTGATCAAATAAGCCCACAGACCGTACATGGCTAGAGATACTGCCATACGCTTGGACTATGCACATATTCCGCCCTATGCAGCTGCCGCTGGAAAACTCCACTGTGCTGAGTTGATTTTTGACCCCAGCCAGTACAGATGCCCTTAAGCTCTTGTTTCAGTTGCAGGTGTCAGCGCAGCTGGTAGGATGGAACCCAAATCTGACCAACAGGAAAACGTGCTGAATCGTGCTCGAGGCCCTCTCTGGTTTTAAATCAAAACAGCATTTCTGAGACGTGGCCACGGGAAACTCCAGCTTCTGTGCTTGTGCAGCGCAAGCTCCACCAGGCTCCTGCCGCCTTCTCTCAAGGGCCATAAACCCATCATCTCCTGTTGTAAGGACAGTTCAACGTGAAAACCCTCACCAGTCGCCACTGCTCCGTATACAACAAATACATCAAACAGTTATCTCCATTGCTTGTCTGATTAATGAGAAGCTTGTCTGACAACAGCTACAGAAAGGTTTCTCTGGTGTTTTTCTGCTCAGCCCAACAGATTCTTGGACTGCAGACACAAAACCAAAATCCAATGAACGAGTTTACGTTTAGCCTTCCAATTCAGTCAATTCTTGCAGGCCTATATATTAACATCTCGTACTCCTCTCTCCCATTTATTCCAAGTTTATATTTTGAAATAATAATGCACACTTTAAAACAATTTAATTAAGCCACACTTGGAAAAATGAAGTCAGCTTTACCTGAAAACCCTCTTTGTTTTAAAAAATGTTGGGATGCAAATAACAATGATACACGGGAAAACATCCTGTCAGCTGAGAATTTGATCCTTAGAGATTTTGTTCTGCAATTTTATTTTGTATTAGCATGACTTTTTCCTTATAAGTTTGCTGCCATCGCAATAGTGTTTTTTCCTCCAAAATATACATAAACCCGCTATGTTGATAATGCTCACTTTTATTATGAAAATCATAATCACTTTTTTGTTGTTTGCTTACTTTTTCCTTATAAGTTTGCTGCCATCGCAATAGTGTTTTTTCCTCCAAAATATACATAAACCCGCTATGTTGATAATGCTCACTTTTATTATGAAAATCATAATCACTTTTTTGTTTGTTTGCTTTTTGTTTTTTTTTTTTTAAGACTACCACAAAATCTTAATTTCTAACATTGAGCTTACCAAATCTCCTTTATTCAGAATGGTCACAAATTCCCTTAGGTTTCGTAGGGCTGCTACCAAGCACAATTTACACTGATTTAGTACTAAGGTGAAGGCAATTCTGGCAAGATACCTACTTACTATTTTTATTTCAATAGGACCAAAGTTGAGAAAAACAGCTGTCACTATAATCAGAAAACTAGTCTTACTTTTCTATTTCATCATGCCAGTGGCCTCTCCTATCTACCATTACGCACTGCTAACTTCCCTGCACTGTGCTTAATTCTTTACAGCAAAATATGTGCTTACCTAATTAGACTCAACACAAGCAATGACAAATAAATCAAGATGGTTGGACAATACATTCTTTATGACACACCCTGAAATTGCAATGAATAGCCCACATTATGTGATATATACACAAGTTTTTTCCTTGTTTGCTTTGAGCTGAGAAAGACCAAGTGTCTTATGCATTACTAAAGCAATGCATACACCTTTATACTTCTCCAAACTGCCAGGCAGGTGCATCCTTTATGGACCTATCCCTCAGCATCACAGTGAGAGCAAATTTGTACGCTAGTATATGGTGATGAAAGGTTAGAAATAAAAATTATTTAAATTATTTATAGCATATCATTGGCTCCTAAAGAAGGCCATGCCAAGTAGCCTGCAACTGGCCCAAGGAATCCTATGAAAGACTAAAATCTAAATCATGTACTAGCTCTTTTCTATTAATATTAACATTTTGTGAAGCTCAAGGCAGTTTAAAAATGACTTTCCCCTATAATATTCATTTCAGATAACTGATAGTAACCACGTTTTTACTGGATTGCTCCTAAGATTAAACTCACTGTTGAATGAAAAAGACAATTCCCTCCCCACAAGTCTGAGTCTTCACAGTTTTTCTAATTTTTTTTTTTTTTTTTAAATCAGAACAAACTCAAACCCCTACAAACCTTTCACCAGAAAAAAAGAAAAAACCCAACCAACTAACCACACCACAGGGAGGAAGAATACAGCTGAAAGGAAGCATGATCCTAAGATCCTATATACAAACTAAATAACTTAAAAAAAGGGCTTTTACCCATTTTCTGTCTTTTTTCATTTTGAAATTCCAAACTGAATCTAGGAAAGCTTTCCTTAGAAAAGTTTAATTGAAAACAAAAATATATGGGGACATACTCCTTTCAAATGCATTAGTATTTTCTGATAAAAAAAATTATCAACTCTAGTCCCAACTGGTATTAAAGCCTTAATCACAGATAAACTTAATAAACTAGATACTCAAGCTCTTTTGTTGAGAATTTTTTTTCATTACTAGTGTTAGCTAAACCAAAGGGAAATCAAACATACTAGTATAACTGATGACCTGAACTAACATGGAGTAGGAACTAGAGAAAGACTTCACATTATTATGTTAGTTCATGTCACTTCCCACCATCAGTGACTGTATTGCCTTTCCATTAGCATAACTAGATTTTAAGTCAGGGACAGAAGAAACAACTAACTGAAAGCTGTACGCTGCTACAAAGTTACAGAGTGAGATAGGACTATAGTTTAAACTAACAGTTGTTGTTCTTTTGTTTTCTATCAAGAGAAAGAAATAGACTTGCCTTTACTGCATAAGATATTAAATTCTAACACTACAAACCATCTGAAGAACAACTCTTACCTACAGCAACTGATTGAGAAATAGTCATTTTGGCAATCAAAGCTGCTTCCATACAGCCACAGAGCCATGGATTAGCTGTAGCTCAGTACATGTAAAAGCTGATACTCATTCAATATTGGATATAGTGCCATCTGTCTTGAGAACATGTAGTTCTTCTGGACAAACACCCTGCTAGCTGAGCTTCTAGACAAGGCTTGACATTCAGAAACATTTTAATGATTTGCATTGAATAAAACAGGTTTACAACACTGTCAAAGCTGTCAATTAATTCCTTCAGGCAGTGGAAACAATAACATATTAAATACTAAGTTGTAAATCATCAGTGTATCTACAGCCCCTCAGTTTCCTAAAGATACTTTGCGAACTTGTAGAATATATTACAGAGAAACCAGATGCGTCCCTAACCATTACAGAGCAGCACAGGGTAATATGAGAAGAACAACATCCTTGCTTCCAACTTGACAAAACATAAGTCTCCCATTCACAGGTCAGCATCAAGAACTGCAACAAACTGCATCAAGAAAGAGGTGGAAGAATGAATATGTAGCATTACAGGGGAGGATAAGACCAGACACATGCTACATGAAAGGCTGCTGAAAGATGGTGTTCATTTTCATAAAGCAAGTGTTTGGAGTTTTAAAAATAACAAACAAGGCACAAGAGTTTACCAGATAGTTAATATTTAGTTAATATCTACCAGCTATTCCTATTTTTTCTAATCAGTTTCAAAGAAAACCTGAGTCTATAAAAACCAGGAACTAGTGATTATTGTAAAGTATCATTTCGTATTTGTTCCCCTTTCTAACATTATTTGACTGGTACGAATGGCCTACCTGATGTAATCAACACAACTCTGGAAACCAAACATACTGTCAGACTTCAAGCTTGTCTGTACTAATCCAAGTCTCATTTCACACCCACACATCAGGCTCCCTCCTACTAGCCAGCTTGGGCTTCTCTTATGCACACAACTTGCTTATGTCAATCTTGCAATTAACATCCACATCTCCTCCCCAAATGATGCCAACTCTTCTATGAAACATTCAAGCTATGAAGACCACACCCCCCGTCATGCTCTTTCATCAGCCCGTTTTGCAACCTAAGAATAAGCTTCTCTTGGGAAGGCGACTCATAAGTGTTCAGCCCTTTTCACCTTGTAAACCAGCTTATCTAATAAAAAAAGGCACATGTACAATGTTGCATCAAGAACCAAGTGATACTCATGCTTGTAGATCAGGTCAGGGAAGCAATTTATCTGAATTTTCATCTGTCAGCTGACTAGTTTCACTACAGAGTAAGATGAAGTAAGATGATCCAATGACAAACCAAAGTCTAGGAGCCTCTATCCCTTATTCAGTTTTACTTGTAAAAGGATTTCTAAAGTTTCTGTGCTCAATTTTTAAGCACAGATAGAGAAGACGAGTCTTTCCTCCTTCAACTCTTTCTGTGTCCTACAGTGTACCTATTAGAGTCAGAAGAAAAAAAGAAAACGTACATTCTTCACATGACAGGCTTTTCAACTGTTTCATATCCCATAGTCCAAACGACATGGATATTCTGAAACAAAAAAAGAGGAGTCTTGCCAACTCAAGAAAATGCTGGTGTACAGTCTTTTGGGTTCTCATCAGTGTGCCACTGGTAATCTATCACCGACTTATAGGGTATGTAGGTCACATACTATTGTTCTCCAGAAGTTACAGGGCACTAAGAGACAGCTGAAGTGCATTTGATAATTGCCATATATTCTTTTCACATGTAAGCAATTACTGTGGTTGCCACAGGAATATTATGCAACTGTCATCCCGTGTGGAGTATACTGTATAGGTGTGAACAAGAAGAGAACTGAAACACCACACATTGACAGGATGCACCAGAGCCCACATTATCTAAATGCAGCTCAGTGCTACTAGAGCCTCTATATGACATTTTAAATAAGACTGAAGTATTAAGCCCCGCTTTTCAGAGGACAGGTGTCCATATCACAGAAACCTATTGTGACACCCAGCATTCCAACTAGAGAGCTCATGGTTCAGCAAACAGACTTCTATTATGAATTACCTATTACACGCACATACACACACACACTTACTTTACCTGCAATTAAAGCATGTCAACAGGTCAGCAAGGAAAAAATTGCTGTGGCAGCTGTTCCATTTGGTGGACAATCTAGATCTAAAGTTTCTTCAGCTGACACCTTTTAGCAGCATTCAGCTTTCCACTACAGACAAGGAAAGGCAGAGAAAGTAGAAAAAGTAAAAATCATCATTCTCTATTAATAGAAAGTAACTGCCTAACACTTGAATGAAATTTGGCAGTTTAACAACTGGGGGGAAAGAACCAAACCATTTTAAAAAGAACAAGGTGATAAAATCTCAAGTATACCAGAGAAGCAGTAACAAAGTATATTCCACAGCATGAGGCAGGTCTGCACAGACAAGCTCAGAGCTTTCAGGCCTTCCACCATTACCTTAGCAAGAAACCCTTGAAAACACTGAAGCCATAATCAGCTGTGAGCCCACACAACTGCAGAAGCAATCCACATTTCCCTTCCTGGCTGCCTTCTGTTCACTGCTGCAACCCAAAAACATTTGCATCCATGCCGTACCTCAAACACACCTGCGCATCACACACTGAATATGTTTGGGGTAATTAAGAAAGTGTTCTGGCTAAAAAGTAACCACAGGGGGGGGAAAAAAAAAAAAAGCAAAAGCAGAAAAAAAGTGGTGTGACACTGAATGCTAAACCTGGCTATGCTGCCAAAAAGCTGATTACAAAACTTGATATTCAGACAGGAAATGCATCATAACAACATCTTGTTAAACAAGCTAAACACATGCAAAGGTAAAGGAGAAGGAGAAATCCACACCTTTCTGTCAACACTGGAATAATTTATATTAAATTTTCATTTGATATGTAACAAGGCTGCACACATACAAAAAAATGCAAGTATGAAAAGGGTGTCTATTCATTTACACAGTGCTTAGCATTCAAAATTGATTTTACAGACATCCTGCTAACCTGTCTGGCAGAAATTCCTCCAGACTACAAAAATTAATTCAAAACAGGGAGGCTGTCAGGTTTTTTCTCTTATAAGCAAGGAGGTAAAATTCTGAAATAGTTTTCAGCATGCTGAAAGGAATCATGCAAAAGTTAAAAAGGTATACACATCAAGGGAGAAAATAATTATTTTGCATAAACACAATTTTTGGCCAAGAACTCATAGTTTAAACCAGCCTTCCCATCAAAGTAGCATGAACAAAAATACCCCAAAATTAAGATCTTATGGGAAGACACTATCAGTTTATAGATCACAAATATAACATGGTTTCAGTAAAGGCTAGACTAGATGATCCAAGAGATCCCTTGCTGTCTTATGCTCCTGAATTTTAGGGATGATTATACCAGGTTCCTCCACAGAGGTAACTAGAAATCTCATAACACTCTTTTAGCATCATTTTCCCCCTCTATTAAAACAAAGATGTAGTCCTAAAAACTAGCCAACTTCCTCAAGCAGAATGATACCAGGGTGAATCTCTCTATCCTCCAGATCATCTCCAAAACATTTCCTGCCAGTGCCCTTAATGTAATCCTACTCAGGCCTGTGCCTCTAAATAACAGAAAAGAAAATATATACCTAACACCAACACGGAACCAGAATAATCCAGAAAAAGTTATGAGCTAAGGGTTGGGGTTTTTTTGTTGAAGTACCCTTTAAATAGTATGTGGGGATTTTTTTTTAATTCTACATGAAGAAAAAAGTTTGTTGGTTTCTTTTTTCATCTTTGACCCCAGTTCAGAAAGGTATTACTTTGCATAGCTCACTACAGATAAAAATCTATAAGAGACCCGTGACAACTTCTCTGCATGCTTTTATCTGCCAACATTCTGTATGGCCTTTGTTACTACTTGCTGGCTTCCACAACCTGGGGATGTGTGCAGCATCACTGAAATAGTAAAATACTGTTCACAAAATGCTAGCTCACTAAACCATGATATTTTCAATATATTTTCTTATTTCTCAAAATAATTCTGAGTGGGGGCTCTAGAGGAAGGAGATTTCTCCGTAATTTGTAGTTAACACTAACTCCTCACCTGTCTGCTTCATACATCCATGATGTCTGGTCATAAAAATAAGATAAGTTTCATTTGTTAAATACAGTCTTTCTATTTCTGTTTTGCTGTATCACTTATCCGTGTAAATTTATAAGTGGAGCCTATAATTGTGTTCTTGACCAAGCTGTTCTTTAGCTTAAATAATTATTTTCTCCCTTGGATTTATCTTCTTTAATTTGCAGCATAGCTTAAAAACTACTGTCATACACATAAAAAAGGTATAGTCTAAATGAAGTCCTCATGATTGAGGCTTGCAAGTTGATCAACCTGGCATTTTTCTTTCCTTTTAGGTACACATGAAATAGACCATCACAGGGAACAGAAAAGAGGAAGAGAAAAAAAGGAAAAGAAATAGCCCCTACCCATAGTCAGAATTAAAGGCTAGCACAGAAGGTAAGCCCAAGCCTCTTTAGAAATCATTGTTTCCAGCAGATGTGGGAAAGGAGTATGCAAGAAGCACCCATGGAGGGGCCTCAAGTGATCAGAATTAAGGGGGGGAGGAGGGGGCAGCACAGAATGAGCCTCTTGGCACATTTGTTTTAAGGATTCCAGCATGCTTCAACCTGAAGGACATTTCTTATCTAGAATCACAAGCCTGAAACTGAAAATTGGTGCAAGAGACTGAAACCATAGTTAATGAAGAACAGAGTCATATGAGGAACAATCCCATTTCTGATCTGGCTAGTGCATGTTTTCCATTATATGCTTAATAAAAACCCACATATTTAAGAGTGGTGCCATATTATCCTAACATATTCAGTGTTTCAGCTTCAAAGCACTGCAAGACTGACTCAGTGAATCTTTGTTACTACTACTGAGGCAGTAAAGAAAAACACAAAGGTCTGTTCTTTTGTAGTCTACAAAAGCATGATTTCTCTATGATATGCAGTTAATGTGCAGGTTTTAAAGAGAAGGTATTCAGAACATGGAAGGATTCTCAGATCACACATATGTAAAAAAATCTGAATCCGAAACCTTTACATCAAGCTATGGTAACTTTCCAGAACCTAAGTGTCTTTAGCTTCCCAACTCATTTAAAAACAAAGAAAGAAAACAAAAAAACCACAAACACACACCTTAGGTTAGAGGGCAAAAGAAGACTCAGTCTAGTATATGAAATTAAAAGAATTTGAATAATCTAAAGAAATTCCAATTTCCAATCAGCTTCTTTTTTTTTTTCATTAAAAAAGCTGTAATTAAATTAAAACAGCACAGTTATAATTAAACAGAGAGCTTCCTGTACTTGTGGCCCAGGAGAGTCATATTAATCACACAGTATTGCCAGTGTGTATTTGTTACCAGCTCTTGTTCACCTCCAGACAAAAATTCAGTACTGCCAGGTAGAAAATAATACATCCTTATCTCCAGAGAGTACTGACACTTGGATCTCTTTCTAGGCACTGATAAACCATTACTGCCAAGCAGTCTGGCCTTATGTAACATATTTTTGGAAGAACAAGTATTTTGCTTTTGCATCAAATACGCAGCTTTGTAAAAGCAAGCAAGCAACATGACACACCAGGTAAAAAGGAGGGAGAGAGACAAAAAAAAGTTTCTCTCTTCCAATTTCTGAAAACTGAGACAAATGAGGAAACTATGAAATGGTAGAGGAACTGCTCAAAAAAACCCTGGAAACAGATATAAAAAAAAAGTAATTTAAAATCATATGAATATCATAAAATATATATATAAGCTTACATTGCTTGGATAGCCTGAAATTCTGTGCTAAAATTGGTGTGATAAGGATATTAAAAAGTTTTAGAACACAAAAATAGTCAATTCATAGTAGTAACCTTCATGAACTAAGATGCTCTATTTTATATCTTGATATCATCAACATCATGACAGAAGGCAGTTTTCAGTGTTCCTTCAACCCACAGCAGAGCAGTCTGTCAAACCTTCTGTTAATAGGCAGGTTACAGGACATCCTCAGAATAGCAAAAGCCTTTTCAAGGATTTGTGAGTGAGTAGCCAAGAACTAGCCATCCTCTTTTACACAATTAATTTTGAGCTCAGGATTATACTGCATTTTATTTGAGATGAAAGTTGTCCCTAGAGACTGTATTGCATCCCATGTATCATAACCTGTACCACTACCCAGGCTAGATATTATGAAAGATGCATAGCCTTGTGGTTTGGGAAATTTAAATTGCTTTCCTTATCTTTCCCCTTCATGTGAAAGCCCAAGAAAATAACCCCAGAAACCATAGTCCACAGATTTATGAATCAATACAAACACTCCCAGTAGCAATACAGGCTATTCAAAATCTCACAAAAACAGCAGATGGACTTAAAAATATTAAAAGGGAAGTATGTTAAAAATTAGCTCTGTTTCACACATGCATGATGGAAATTATGAGAAAGAACACATCATAGAAGCAATACATCCTGGGAAACTTTCCTCTATGAGTAAAAAAAAAAGTCTCCTAAACTGTTAATTTTACATAAAATTGTGCCTCTTTGCTTTTGATTTAAAGATCAGCTGACACTGCAGGACTTCCTCAGATCTTTGGTTTTCTTCTGCTATTCACAGCTTTGCCCAATAGCATCCAACCGAAATTAAAACCTTTGTTTATGGCACTGTTGTTATCCCTAGCATTCAGACAAGAAATCTCACACAGTGAAGAGCCATCTCTGTTTTGTGCTGTTATTGGACAATTAATTAAAGGAAAAGAGTTAGTCAACCCAAATAAACACAGGCTACAAGGGCAGCACAATAGAGGGTTGTTTACAACATACAGTGCATTACACTAAGGAGTTTGCCAAATTGTCACTAACACAAGCTGATTAAGTCTGCATGGCAGAGAGCAGACACTAGCACAGGTCTGGAAGCAGTAAAACCACAGTGGCTTGGATGCAATGCCATACAAATATGACTAAACTGCTTTTAAAGCTAATCTAGGCATCTTCACAGCACATTTCCTAGCACTCCCTGTTCTAGGATTTGCTCCTGCAGAGCCAGTGTGGGTATAGGCATGCCCACAGTCCTTTTTTCATGTTGTTGTCTTATAACAGGGAGTTCTAGCTACTTTTCAACAGCCACAGCGACGTGAAGTTCTACATCTCACTCATCTACTCCATGCAGGCAAAAAGGAAAAAAAAAAA